AACCTCATACAAAAACGCAATCAATCCAGCTGAGCTTTTCCGTGAGCTTGATTCAGATTGATAGCTTGATTGCCTTAAGTATATAGTAGATTTCGGTGATGAGGCAGCCCATGAGGCAGCTTAGATAGCTGTAAAAGCTCTATACTGAGCTTTTTTTGGTGTTTTAGTTACGCCGTGTAACATTGAGTAATATCCGATAGCTCCGTGTAACTAGCAGCCAGCGCGTCGTCTCATATAGTATACTCCATCTCCATCTCCATCACCCACAATACTATATACTTTTGGTGTTGCAGATCTATCGCCGTATACCTCACCTCATCGTCGCCCTCATGCCGCCCAAAAAACGCGTCTCTGATAGCGCTCCCTCGCCTAGAAAGCGCGCGCGCGGCACTGCGAGCCAGCCCGTCGCGATCGACTCGCAGTCATATCAATCTCAGCCATCTGCTCTATCTCCGCCGCCTCCATATACACATACTTTCGAGTCGCGATTGCGCGAGTCGCAGCCCGAAGACGCTATCGTCGCGCCCGCCGAGGGCAGTGAGCAAGCTACGCTCGCTCCGTCTTCTGAAGCCGCCGACGACGCTGTAGATGAGGCTTTTGACGCCCATCTCGAAGACAATTATGATGGCATAGATTGGGGTCGCCTTAAGCTGTATACGAAGCCTATCACGACGCACCAACACAAGCGGAGTTGGATCTATCGCCACGGCTATCGCGTCGCTCTTCTCAAAGATCCAACCCGCGTATTCTTCATCTGCCACTGGTGTTTCAAGCACAAGCTCACGGATATTGGTATTGGGATATACAATACAAGCGCAGCAGTCTCGTCAGCCGCGCGCCACCTCAGCGAGCAGAAACCTGGCCATAGGCTAGTAGCACCAGGCAAGACTCCAGTTGCTAGTGTTTACAACGCGCTCACCACTGCGAGAGTCCCTATCTCACAGGCAGTAGCTAATCAGATTAACGGGTTTAGCAAGCAGCGCTTTAGGTTTGCCGCAGTAGACTGGCTCGTCGCGAACAACCACCCCATCTCTGAGTTCGAAACACCAGCTTTTCGACGCCTAATTGCTATCGCCAACCCACTTGCAGAAGCAGCGCTCTGGAAGAACCACAAGAGCGTCTCCCAATACGTCATACGACTGTTTGACTGGCTCAGGCCCCGCGTTGTCCACGAGCTGTCACAATCGCTTAGCAAGATCCATATAAGCTTTGACGGATGGACAACGAAAGGCGGCAAGCGCGGGTTTCTCGGTATCGTCGCCCACTACGTCAACTCAGATGGCAAGCTCCGAGACCTGCCTATCGCGCTGCCTCAGCTCACAGGCGCTCACTCCGGCGATCGATTAGCTGAGGTTGTATTATCAATCTTAGAGCAGTTTAGCATAAGCGAGCGCACACTCGGTTACTTCGTCCTCGACAATGCCTCTAATAACGACACCGCTGTCGCTGCGATTGCCCACGAGCTTAACTTCAATCCTATACACCGACGCCTCCGCTGTGGCCCTCATACGATCAATCTGATTGGGCAGAGACTGCTCTGGGGCAGAGATGCAGACTTATACAACAACGAGGGAGTTGACGACCTCACTAGCGAGGCAGCGCTATAAATGAGTGGCGAA